CAGGTAATTTAAATTTTTTAATCTCATTGATTTTTCGAATTCCTTTTTTGGCAAACGAATATCTAGAAATCATTTTAAAAATGTTCATTGTTAAAATTTAACAAACTATAATATTATGAAACGAATTAACAGGTTTTATTTATTATTATTGCGTTTTTGTGTACATTATTTGGCTACGACGGGTGTTACTAATAGTCTTCTAAAAACAATAATGATATTTTTCCGCTTTTTTAGTTTTTAAACAATTTAAAATCAGGTTTCTGCAAAAACTATAAGCACTCCTCAGTAATGTTGTAAAAAAACACAATACTTATCGATGATAATAATTTATGTTGAACATCGATGTGATTATTAGTTATTTACATATCGTCACCTAAGAACTATTTTGGCCTATCTCAGATTTTCCAAATTTTCAAGAGGAACAAAATACATATCACTGATATAATTTGGTTTTATAGAGGCCCTGATGACATTTAATTGCATACAGCCGTCTCTTGGTGTCAGACATTGAAACTAACAACTCAGTCTCACCCGTCTTGATAATACAAAACCATTGGTTTATTAAATAAAGTTTCAAATTTTTTAAGATAGGCCATAATGGTTCTAAGCGTTGATGTATGTATATTGTACTAAACTATTTTTAATCATCGTACCCGGAAATTGGTTACATGTCAAATAACTTCCAAGTAGTTCATGTTTCCCTTCTCTGAATTAATCAATTATGCAAAACTTAACTGGATATGAAGACTTAGCATCTTCTAGTACCGCATCATAAATATCATCTAATTGCTAAAGTGAATACAATTTTTTTTTTTGAATACACAGTGTGAATAGTGAATACTATTATTAGAGAAATAACGTGTCTCAAATTAATATCACTAATCTGTATATTATTCAATAGGTTTATAGAGTATTTAATAATTATAATTTTGTTTTAATGTATTATGTATTCAGACAAGTATTTTTTTTAAGTTATTGCCATTAAAATAAATTCAGATATTATTTTTTTTAATACACAATGTTAATACTACTGTTGTAGAAATAATTTTGTGTCAAAATAGGTTAATAACATACCTTTTTTTTTAATTAGCTACATTTAAATAGAAAAAAATTCTTATTTACCGCATCAGTAAATTTTGGTTTTTTTATTAATTCTTTAAATTCCTCTTTTGACATACGAATATCTAGAAATCATTATAAAGTGTTGATATTAAAATTAACCAAACTAAATTATGCTGTAACGAATTAACAGGTTGTATTTATTAATATTGCGTTTTTGTGTACAATATTTTGTTAAAGCGGGTGTTACAAAATGCCATCCAATAACAATAATTTGGTTTATCCACTTGTTTAATTTTTAAATGATCTAAAATCGTGTCTAAAAGTTTTTCAGCCGAGTCTGCAACCATGAAAGAGCATTTTCATGTCTCGTGTAATACCGAATAAATTACCGAATTAAAACCGAATTAGTTGTGGAATTTTAATTTATACAAAAAAAATTACTTGGAGCTTCCAGCATAAGGCCAAGGAGATTAAAAAATTATGTACAATCAAGTTTCTGGCTAAAATTGTAGTGTTTATTATCTGGCCAAAAGTAACTTAACATAGAGAATTAAACTATTTTGAATTTATTATTAGTTCTAATTTGAACGTTGAACGTACAACATATCTCTTATCTCTTATCTTCTAAATCTAACCCCTATCCCCTACGCACTATCTCCCATCCCTATCACTCACCCCTATCTCCCACCCTATCCCTACTCACTAATCTCACTGCTTATCTCCCACCCATATCTCCTACCGTAACGCTTTTTTGGTAACACTTTTTTTCGGTTATTTACTGGCTAAATCTCACCCTTATCTCCTACCCCCTATTCCACTCCCGTCCCCAACCCTTTCGCTTTTTTCGTTACGCTCTTTTGGTAACGCATTTTTCGTATATTTGCCAGGGTTATGTGCCAGAGCTAAGACATGAAAATGTCAAAAAAAAAAAATTATGGGAATGTCGTAAATTGAATATTTACATAATATTTAAAATTATTAAAAAAAAAAAAATTATAGCGGTTTTTTAATTTGTATAACTTGTTCTTCCTAATTATCTTTACAGACGACTTCTGCATAATATTATAAGCACCTCTCAAAAATGTTGGAAAACCCGTTAAGGTAGCATTTATTATTATTGCGTTTTTATATACAATATTTGGCCACGACGGGTATAACTAAAAGTCATCTAAAACAATAATGATGTTTTTCCGTTCGTTTACTTTTTAAATAATTTAAAATCGTGTTACTGCAAAACACTATAAGTACTTCTAACAAATGTTATTAAAAAGAACACTACCTACCGGTAATATTTAATACAGGGTTTCCAGCATAAAAGGTAAGTAATAAGTAATTGGACATCTGGGGGACCCCCAAATAAGCCCCCCGTTTTTTTTCGATAAATAAAAAAATTGAAGGTTTCGACAGTTAAAAAAAACAATAAAAAAATAATGACCTATCAAAACAAAAAAAATAATTTCATGTTATTCGGTGCAAAAAGCTCACCTTAAAAGAGGGGTCACATCATTTACAGTCTTTTTCAGCCCCTAACTCTTCTCTTACCACTTTCTTATCATTTATCTTATCATTTATTTCTTACCTCTAGTCTCTACTCATTTATCTCCTTTTAATAATATCTTATCATTTATTTCTTACCTCTTGTTTCTAATTATTGATCTCTAATGTCTCATAATTTATCTCTTATCAATTATCTCTTTTCTTTTATCTTTTTTCTTTTATCTCTTAGCAATTATTTCTTAGCTTTTATCACTTATCATTTGTTTCTGTTCTCTAACCATTTCGCTCTTATTATTTTTTGAGTTAGGGGCCGAAAGGGACTGAAAAATGATGTGATCCCTTTTTTAAGGTGAGCTTTTTGCACTGATAAACAGGGAATAATTTTTTTTTTTAATGTCATTATTTTTTTAACTATTGAAATCTTCAATTTTTGACTTATCAAAAAAATGAAAACGAGGTGAAAATTATTATTATTCATCATACCCTTCGGCAATGTTTCTGTTACATCCATTAGTTGTTCAAAGGTTATGGAACTTAGTTTTCTTCTACGCATGCTCGTTAGTTCTTTTTCCGACACACTGTGTCTTATGGTAGACCTATAAAACGTTCCACTTTCACGCGATTCAGAAAGGGGTTTCAAATCATAAGCCAAATAACTTTGGGCGCCAGCATAAATTTCGTCCAATATCTAAAACCATTATATTAAGAATGGAACATGCTTAGCCTTGGCCTCTCAGCTCGAAAACGACACAAAATAGCGTTACGATAGTAACGCAAAAGTGGCGTGATCTAGCGGTTGCTTTTTTATATAATATGTATATATGTTAGTGATGGGAAATAAATCCGGATTTTCTTAAAATCCGTAAAATCCGGTTTTCGGTTTTCGAAGTTCAATGAAAAAAATCCGGATTTTACGAAGAATCCGGATTTCAAAATTTGAACTTCAGAAACCGTAACCTTGGTTTAAATAAAAAGTCAAATTACCGATTTTGAAATTCATAAAGCATTTTGTAATTACTTATTCAGCAGTACAAGATGACCAAATTGTTCAAATTAGTTGACTTTTAATCCTCTATGAAATGCTATTATCGGACCCCTTCAACTAAATTACCCTAAGTTATATGTTTCTAATGAACTTTAAGTTTCATATATGTAATCTAGCTTAAATACAAAGTAAGTATGCTGTATTACAGTTTACTATTTGTGATATATTGAAAACAATAACCTATTTAAAAATTTTAAGACATATTTGAGTAGTTTTTACATGCTTTTTTTTAACTCGCTAACACGTACGTACGTCTGTACGTTTGTACGGATATTTTTCAAATCTTGCAAAATTAATTTAACCCACTTCCCGATGTCGTAGACAATCATGATCATGATCTATACAAACATTTAATTTCTTATAATTATATTTCTAGTATAACCTTTTTTTTCTGTTACTGGCCGATACATTTAGAATGCATTTTAAATATATTTTTAATGTCTCGGTTATTTTAGCCTACACCTCAGGGAGCTGGCTCTATTCCAGTCAAGAGAAAAGTTTTTAGTAGATTATTATTTTGGTTAGTTTTTTTTCTCCATCAAATACTCTTATATAGAAAATGCCGTTTAAAACTAATTATATGTGGTAGTGGCCTGCCATGTATTTTTATAAGAAATATGTATGTTATGTACATAATTTTAAATAATGACTTAAACAAACGAATTAACTTGATCGAACGTTCTTTAAAATTATTCATTATGTTAAAAGACGCATCTAAAAATGAATCCCAATTTGGACCTCTAAAATGGTAGTTGCAGCACTGTACATTAAAATTATCTTATAAGCCGGTTGTGTAAGCAAGTAGTACATTTTTTGGGTCAAACGGCAAAACCACTACTGTTTTTAAGATTCGTAGGCCGAGTACACCTGTAAAATACCAAGCTACTGTTCAATAATATTATGTTTAAATATTGTTTCATTCGTTTTGAAATATAGGTATTTTAGAAACATATTTTTTAACTACAGGAGATGAAAATCAAACTTTAGCTTACCTAACTTAGGTAAGTATGCCGGGGTAATCATATGGAAAAACCTAATACATATACGTAAAATAATAATATTATCATTAAAATGATTTGAAAAAAAATATTTGTTTTCTATAAAATGTTTAGTTTGCAAAATACTAAAAAATAACATGTTGCCATAAGACAGATGTGTAAATAGGAAATAAGTCCATTTTTTAGGCTTACCAAACGGCAAAACAACTACTGTATTTTTTGGGGGGCCATAGGCTCTACCATAGCCACGATTATTCATTTTAAAAATCAATAGGAATTTTCAACCTATATTGAACAAACAAAATACATATGCGTTTGTTAAGTTTTACACTGAAATCGCTACACCAGCAGACATTAAAACGAATGAGAATCATTTAAAGTTTATAATTCCTCCGTATGTCACTGTTCATTTGACTTTTGCATTAAAAAAATATCATAATGAATATTAAATATTTTATTATTTTTTCATCCATGTGTCTATATTTTTGTGTGGCAAGTTTTACTAATGAGGTAATTTTATTTTGGATAAATATTTAGTTACCCATTTTAAAAAATGGTAAAAAATTATATAGATCTGTACCATTCAATGTATATCAATTAGTCTATTCTATGAAATATGTCTGTGAATAAGTAAGCAAAAAGATTTTATACAACAATCAAATAATTGAGGTTTTTGATGCACTAAATATTAATGTAATAAATATTATATTTAATATAATATAATAATTATCCATATCTAAAAACTTACATTTAAATATGTATACATATTAATATAAAAGAGCAACCACTAGATAGCGCCATTTTCACGTTACTTTCGTAGTGCTACTTTGTGTCGTTTTCGAAGTGGGAAGCTAAGGCTAAGTATGTTCCATTGCAATGATTTCTAGATATCCCTATATAAAAAAAGGAATTTAAAAAATTAATAAAAATAGCCAAAGTTTACTGATTCGGTAAATAAGAATTTTTTCCTAAATATATCTCGTAAAAGTTTTTTTATTAACCCAATTGAAGGCGAATATATTTCTATAACAGTTGTATTCACATTGTGTATTAAAAAAGTATACATCAAAATTTAAAAGATTTAATCAGATTAAAAAAATTGTGTAATAAAAAATACATTTTGAGGCGGTATACTGCATAAAACCCAACACTTAATCTGAATCCAAAAAACAACAGTCATCTTCATAATTTGCTGGTAGTTGGACCTTATATACTCATAGTTGACCTTCGGTAAGGTAATATAACGCAGGCGATAAAATAACGAGATAACGACAGTGGTTTTGTTGTATCAGAATCATTAAGTGGTGTAAAAAAAAGCCCTCATCAGAGTAAAACCAATATCTTATCGCTTTGCATCGAAGCTAAAACATTTTTCTGGATTTTTGTGTAAAAGACATCAAAAGTGGTCAAATTATATGTTTTTGGGGTCGGTGATTACGAATTTAATATCAGTTCTCAATTTTAATCATACAGAAAGAACTTAAGAAAAAAAAAAAAATTGAATTTGTGTAAACTTCAAGTCAAAAGTGGTACTTGAGCACAAAACCTAATAGTATCATTCAGCATAGATATACATAAAATTGTTTTAATGATTTGATCAATTTTTTTTTAAAGATTTTAGGTGTTTTTGTTAAAATATACGAAATCTGCGAAAACACATTTTCCCGGCAATTAAAAAAAATCTGTAGTGCCGAATTGTTTTCCCGTTTAATATGTTATGAATACATATGAGTTCCAACTACTGACAAATTTTCAACCCAAAAGTTTTAAAATTACGACTAAAAACCCAGAAAAACAAAAAAACTTGTACCCCCCCCCTAGGGGGTGGGAAATGGGTATAGTTTAAATTTGACACAACTGACGTGAGCGGGCATACCAAATAATTATTTCTTTTACATTTCAACTCGATCCGACTCTTTTTCTCGAAAATATAGCCAGTAAAAGTTCTAACTTAAAAACTCGTACGGGGTTTTTTTTTGCTTGTTCAAATTTCGTCTGTGAAGGATTAATCTTTTTCAACTTTTACCCCCCCCCCCCAGAGTACAAACTAGATAAAATTTGTGATTTATAGAGTTGCTATTCGAAGGAATTGGTCTAGTATTAAAAAAGTTACAGTGTATACAGCTAAAAAAAAAGCCCACATCAGAGTAAAACCAATACCTTCTCGCTTTGCATCGAAGCTAAAATGTTTGTTAAAAAATGTTGTCTAAATACATAATACATTAAAAAAAATGTATAGTATCTAAATACTCTATAAACCTAGTGAATAATAATATACACTTGTGATATTAATTTGAGACACGTTATTTCTCTCATAATAGTATTTACATTGTGTATTCCAAAAAAAATGTAATGATTTTAGCAATTAGACGATATGTATGATGCGATAAAAGAATATGCTATAGCCACAGCCTCAGTTCGAGCAAGATTTTGCTTAATTAAAAAACGCGTGATAATGATACAAGATACTAAATCCTCAGATGCAGTAAATTTTGGCTCAATTAAAAAGTCACTGGGAATGAAACAAAAAATACTAGAAGATACTAAAGCCCCAGATCCATTAATTTTTGGTTTAATTGAAAAACATGAAGAATCAAATCACAACCTACTTGAGGTCATTCAATCAATCAATTTGATATTTAACGACTTTCCGGGTACGATGAATAATAATAGTTTAGTAAAATATATACATATATCGACACCTAAAGACCTCTCTCATGGCCTCTCTCAAAAATTTAAAATTTAATTTTATAAACAATTGTTTTTGTATTATCAAGACGCATGAGATTGTGTTATTAGTTTCAATGTTTGACACCAAGAGGCGGCTGTGTGCAATCAAATAACATCAGGGCCTCTATAAAACCTAATGATATCAGTGATATTTATTTTGTTCCTCCTGAAAAGTTAAAAAAACTGAGATAGGCCAAATTGGTTATTAGGCGGCGATTTGTAAACAACTAATAATCACATTGATGTTCAATATATACTATTATTGTCGATAAGTAGTGTGTTTTTTTTACAACATTACCGAGGAGTACTTAAAGTGTTGGGTAGAAACACGATTTTAAATTATTTGAAAACTAAACAAGCGGAAAAACGTCATTATTGTTTTTAGATGACTTTTAGTAATACCCGTTGTGGCCAAATATTGTACATAAAAGCGCAATAATAATAAAGGCAACCTGTTAATTCGTTACATGTTAATATAGTTTGTTAAACTTTAACATAAATATTTTAACATAATACAATGATTTATAGATATTCGTTTGTCAATAGAGGAATTTAAAAAAAGAATAAAAGCAAAAATATCAAATTTAACTAATGAGGTAACTTTACATTTTTTTTTATATAATAATATATTTATTTGAAATTAATTCCGTGGTGTACGTAGATAACATAACTTACAGTAAAATATAAAACAAAACAAAATACAAATGTTTAAGCTAAGAATTGCTTTCCTATAAGCTAATATCTTGTGGTAGAAAGTTTAACAGTTAACTTAGGCTATTTACAGTTATTTTAATAACTTGGTATAAGTGTCTTACCTGACCTCATACAATTATTCCGTAATTCAAAACTGATTGGACGAGTAATTGTAATATATATATATATATATATATATATAAAAGAATTTGTATATTGGGTTGGTTAATGCATTTATATGATGTTTCCATTTAAATTTACTACTATCTATTATTATAGACAATTAGGTTTATTTACAAATTCTAGAGCGATACCATTTGTAGAGGGTATTAACTTTAAAAATAATTAAAAATAATTTATAAAATAAAATGCTTTTTTGACATCAAAGAATATTCCTAGAACTTTGTTTTTATGTTACTATCGCCAAGGTTTATATGGATAAAATGATTGGTTGAAAAATGAAAATAATGCGTCATCGGTTGAACTGTCTGTTATAAAGCCAAATTTTTTTTTTTTAATCAATTATTATTTAAAATTGCATTATTCTCTTTTTAAATTATTTTCGATAAATCGCTATTGGGCAATAGTTACTACAATATGCGGGGTCAATAGTTTCATAATCAGTAGACTATCATAAGTTAGTAGATTATCTGGTAAAAATTTGGTAATGGAGAAATTATTCTAACATCAGAGGTAAGGGATCAAATTTTTCGGTTTACACTTATTGGAAATATACACAACTTGTGTTGTGGGTCTTAACACTTATATTTGAAACCGTAAATTAATATGGGGAAAAAACCTAATTGGTTTTAAATGATTTGGGTCATAAGAACAATGCTAGAACTTAATATGAGTTGTTTTTGGATAATTTTTATTTTTAATTCGATGATTTCATATTTGTTAACAAAATTTTATCTAAATACATGATACATAAAAATAAAAAAATAATAATCAAATACTGTATAAACCTAGTGAATACTGATATATATACTGAGAAGTGGTAATAATTTGAGACACGTTATGTGTGTAATAATAGTATTCACACTGTCTTTTCAAAATAATAATGTAATGATTTTAGATATTGGACGAAATTTATTCTACGTTACGAGAAGATGCTGCCAACAATTCAATAAAATTTTACATATTTGAAAAACGTACTGAAAAAGTATTTAATGTCTTTAAACGGGATATCGGGTTTAAAATTGAAAAAATTCCGGGTACGTTAAATAATAACAATTATTAGATATTGTAAAATGTATATGTAAATTGTGACAAGTAATCAATTTGCCTTTTTACAAAAATTATTATCGATAAGTAGAGCGTTTTTTTCCAACACCTTTGAAGAGTGCTTATAATATTATGCAGAAGTCGCCTGTAATGATAGTTAGCAAGAACAAGTTAATCAAATTCATGTAACGCTTATATCTTAATTTTCTAAAAAATTGTGTTACAAAAAATTGTTTTCATTACGGTTACACGAACTGTAATAAACATTTAAGTATGAATTTTATGACATTCACCATGAAATTTTAATTAAACACGATTTTAGACTATTTAAAAACTGAACAAGTGGACCAACAAAATAATTGTTTTTAATTGGCATATAATAATACCCGTTTTGCCCAAATATTGTACACAAAAATGCATTAATAATAAATGCAACTTATTAATTCATTACAGCATAATTTAGTTTTGTGACTTTTAATATCAACACTTTATAATCATTTCTAGATGGTATTCATATGTCAAAAGAGGAATTAAAAAAAATAATGAATGCAAAAATAGAAAATTTAACTGATGAGGTAATTTTCGTTTAAATTTTTTATCTAATAATACATATATTTGCAATTAATTCCGCGGTGTACATAGATAACATAACTTACAGTATAATATAAAAAAATTTAAAATTATACACTAAAAGTAGGAATTTATAATACGTGTAACCCTCATATAAGCTTATATCTTGTGGTGGAGAGTACGACTTAAGTATTGAATTATGAATTATTTTAATATCTAAATATGTGATACATTAAAAAAAATTATAGGTAATAATTAAATAATTTATAAACCTAGTAAATAATATACTAGAGATATTTCGAGATACAACAATTCTTAAATTCTAGTATTCATAATTTATATTAAAAATAAAATTAAAATTATTTTAGCATCTTCAAAGAATTTTTGAAAGAATAATATACAGATATAAAGGATGTGTTGACAAGCTTTCAGTAGAAGGCTACTTACGTAAGAAAACCATAGGATCGAATGATATACTATCTATACAGGAAATCGAATATGGAACTAAAAGTTTGCCGTCGGGTACGTTGATTAATAATAATTTAGTAAAATATATATTATGCAGAAATCGAATGTAAAGATTTTATCTTCTCGCGCGGTAGCATTCGCTGAATACACACGTGTATTTACGCTCCGTCTCTTTCTTACGCTATAGTGGTTATACTAATCATATTATGTTTAATTGTGAAAATGTAACAGTTATGTCCCGCAGATTGTTTATTCACATTGTGTAAAATTGTACAAAAACAAAAACGTAAGTTAAAAAAAATAAATATAAATATTATTCAAACAGTTTATAAAAGTAAAGCAGTGCCGTGTCGGTTTTCCACACGTCATTGTCTGCGGTGCTTATCTCGCTGGGCCGTCGCACGACGGCCACTTATCTAAATTACCGTCGCCGTCATGTCTAAAACTGCTAACAAAGTCGATAATCAAGTTAACCGTAATAATAACACTAATAATCAGCTCTCACCGATTGTGTTGAATAATACTGTCGATGGTTGGCAAAAGATTGCCAATAAAAGACATCATTCTACTTCTTCAAATTCAAATCCTGGTTCGCCTCGCCCAACCACTTCTAGTAAAAAAAGTATTAAACTATTTCACTCTACAAACCGCTATGAAATACTTAATGATGAAAATGATGTTGAAATCACACAAAATGAGGACCCCCCTGAGAATAATTCGGAACAACCAATCAAAATCCCTCCCCCTGTGTTCATAAAAGGTGTGGAAAACTTCACTGATCTATGTACGGTTCTTATTGAATTGATAGGAGTGGACAATTTCATATGTAAATCATCAGTAGATCGCCTTAAAATTCAAACAAAAAATCCAGAGTCGTATAGAACACTAGTCCGGTTTTTAAAAGAACAAAAAGCGGAATTTCACACCTTCCAGTTAAAAGAAGACAAGCCTTTACGCGTTGTGATCCGTAATTTACATCCTACTACTTCGGCGGAAACAATAAAAAATGAGCTCGAAATTCGACTTTTTGAGGTTAGGCAAGTAACCAACGTTCTTCATAAAATTGGTAAAAATCCATTACCACTCTTTTTTGTTGACTTAGAGCCAACTGATAAATCGAAAGAAATCTATGACTTATCCTCTTTATTACACACAAAAATTAAAGTTGAAGAACCGTACAAACCCAAAACGATAAGCCAATGTATAAATTGTCAAGAGTATGGGCATACAAAAGCCTACTGTGGTTACCCGCCGAGATGCGTACGCTGTGGAGCCAACCATATGTCGTCTAACTGCTCAAAGCCTCGTGATCAACCTCCAAAATGCGCACTATGCTCAAGTAGCCACCCAGCCAATTACAAAGGTTGCTCAGTATACAGAGAAATTCAACAACGGAAAAAATCTACACATAAAAGTAACTTTTTATATGACAATCTTAATATTAAGAATTTTAATGTACAACAAGACAACCACTCATTAAAGGATTTCCCTAATATTAACCACACATCTCCAAAACAGACATATGCTCAAACGACTTCCAATAATATTAATAATCAAATTCCTTCACCTTCTTTAGATATAAATAAAGTCATGTCATCTTTCCTTGAAGACCTTAAGTCTCTAATTAATCCCCTTATAACTCTCCTAACAAAAGTTATCTCCAGTTTGCTCGATAAGAAAAATGACTAGTCATTCTTTTACAAACAATTCATTACTAATCCTCCAGTTTAATGCTAATGGCTTAAAAAACCACATTAATGAACTACAAACTGTCCTTCATACTAAACGCATAGACATTGCACTTATAACAGAAACTCATTTTACGGAACACTCAAATTTTTTCATCCCTGGTTATACATTATTAAAATGCAACCATCCAGACAATACTGCTCATGGAGGAGTAGCTATTTTTATTAAATCTTCTATTCCATTCCTACCTCTTCCTAATTACTCCCAAGACTATATACAATCCTGTTCCATATCCTTAAAACTTAAAAATACATCATATACTATTGCTGCATTATACTCTCCTCCCAAACATAAGGTCACGAACATGTTATTCAACGACTATTTTAACACTTTCAAAGATAATTTTATTGTCGGTGGCGACTTCAATGCCAAACACCAAATTTGGGGCTGTCGCTCAAATAACCCCCGTGGTCTTGTTCTACATGATTTTGTATTATTAAAAAAATTAAATATTCTTGCTCCTCCTGGTCCAACATATTGGCCTTCGTCCCTTCGTAAAAATCCAGACATACTTGACATTTTTGTAGCAAAACTACCGAACAAGTTAAATTACACTATAGACAATATCCTCGAGCTCAACTCTGATCATTCATCAGTCTTACTTACCATTAATTCAACTCCTCAAACACATCAAAGTCATCCCAAGTTATTTCAAGTAAACACAGATCGATATATGTTTCATAATCTAGTTAATCAGAAAATTAAACTAAGCACAAAACTTAAAACTACTGAGGACATAGATAAGGCTGTAAATAATCTCACTAATATCATTCAAATAGCTGCCTGGACGGCTACTGATGATATAACACTATCCCAAAACAAAACAATTGTTTTACCAGAGCAAATAAGAATATTAATATCTGACAAACGTAGAGCTAGATCTTTATTCCAACGCACTAGACTTCCGTCACATAAACATTTATATAATAAGTTAGCAAATAAACTTAAAAAAATGCTTGCTCAACACAAAACCAATTCCTATAAAAATTACTTATCTAACTTAACGGCTAAGGATGGTAGCCTATGGAGAGCTACCAAACAAGCTCTTAGATATAAAACAGCTAATCTCCCAATTAAAAAAACTGACGGCAGTCTAGCTATCACCGACTTGGAAAAAGCAGAGTTATTCAAAGAACATCTAGCTGATACTTTTAAACCTCATCCGAATATACACTCACCTGAAACGACTAGTTCTGTAATGGCATACCTAGACGCACCATTACCACTATATCTTCCAGTCAAATGCTTCACACCAAATGATGTAAAATTCACAATTGCTAGATATCCTTCCAACAAATCCCCTGGTTTTGACCTAATAACGGCTGAGGTTGCAAAATGCCTTCCAAAAAAAGCTATTATCCACTTAACCCATATATTTAATGCAGTCATTAGACTTTCGTATTTCCCTCTATTATGGAAATTCTCGACTATTATATTAGTTCCTAAGCCCAACAAACCCCCTGATCTGCCAACATCCTTCAGACCAATCAGTCTTTTACCGTTCTTTGCAAAAATTTTTGAAAAATTATTAATTAAAAGAATACTTCCCTGTCTCTCTGTCAATGAAATACTGCCTAATTCCCAATTCGGTTTTAGAGCTTCTCACTCCACTATACATCAAGTCCATAGAGTAGTAGACGCAATATCGTACTCGCTCGAAAAAAAATTATACTGCACAAGTGTGTTTCTTGATATTTCGCAGGCCTTTGATAGGGTATGGTATGACGGCCTCCTTTATAAATTAAAAAAAATTTTGCATCCCACTTATTACTTGTTTTTCAAATCTTACTTAACAGATCGTTTTTTCCAAATCCGTCATGGTTCTTCAGTATCTGATATAGCCTCTATAAAAGCGGGAGTTCCACAAGGAGGTATTCTATCTCCAGTCCTATTCAATATCTATACCTCAGACCAACCCACAACTCCTAACACAATTGTTGCAGATTATGCTGATGACAAAGCCATTTTGTCCTGTAACTCTGACCCACAGATTGCATCCGTCAATTTGCAAAATCATCTTCATTTAATGGAAGACTGGTATACAAAATGGCGTTTTAAAATTAATCAATCAAAATCAGTTCACACTACCTTTACTCTAAGACTTCTCCCTTGTCCTGGTGTCTCCCTATACGGAGTACAAATCCCCTCCTCTTCCTCTGTCAAGTATCTCGGTCTCACACTAGATAAACGACTCACATGGGCTCAGCACATTAAAATTAAACGTTTGTCTCTAAATAGCCGTCTGCGGTTACTCAAATCATTAATCGTAAACAATAAATTTACAGATATTAATACAAAACTTCTTATTTATAAAACTCTTTTAAAACCCATATGGACTTACGGCCTTCAGCTATGGGGCAATGCTAAAAAATCCAATACCAATAAAATTCAATGCTTTCAAAATATTGCCTTAAGAAAATTAATAAATGCACCTCCTTATATCTCTAATTACACACTCCATAACGACCTTAACTTAAAAACAGTCCATGAAGAAGCTATCTCCTACTATAAAAGATTCCACATTAAACTACTCTCCCACTCTAATCCCCTTATAAAAAACCTCTCAACCTTGTCCATACCTGGAGACCCACCCAGACGTTTAAAACGTAAGTGGTGCCGTGATCTTCTATCTAATAATATCAATTAATATTAATACATAATTAATCAATGTAAATATAAGTTTAAAATAAAAAAATAAAAAAAATCATTGGAAGTGTCACTAATGAGTGGTTTCTTCAATCAAAAAGTATTCAATTTATATCTACTCTTATCATATATACTTATTGTGCCTATTGTACAGATTGCATATTTCTTTTGTAAAATAAAAAAAAAAAAAAAAAAAAAGATTTTATCTTGTTTTCTTTAGACTAATTTTAAATAATATTTAAATGTTAATTTTCGAAATTCCTATGAATTTTTTTTGAAATACGATTTTTAATTATTTAAAAACTAAACAATCGGAAAAACGTCATGGTTGTTTTTAGACGGCTTTTAATAATACTTGTTATGACCAAATATTGTACACAAAAATGCAATAATAAAAAATGCAACCTGTTAATTCGTTACAGCATAATTTAGTTTAGTAACTTTTAATATTAACACTTTATAATCATTTCTAGATATTCATATGTCAAAAGAGGAATTTAAAGAATTAATGCAAGCAAAAATAAAAAATTTAACTAAAGAGGTAAATTTATTTTTTATATTTTTTATTTAATAATATATTTGCAATTAATTACGCGGTGTACTTAGATAACATAACTTACAGTATAATATAAAAAAAATAAAAAGTAATAAATAAAAGTAGGAATTTTTAATGTTTGCAACCCTCCTATAAGCTAATATCTTGTGGTGGAGAGTTGGACTTATGTTTTGAGTTATGTATTCTTAATATATAAACATATGATATATTAAAATGAATTATAATAATTAAATAATATATAAACCTAGTAAATAATATACTAGAGATAATTCGGGACAAATTATTTCTAAAATAGTAGTATTTGTAATGTGTATTAAATATAAAAATATAATTTTTTTAGCAAATTGAAAAAATGTATGAAGCAGTACAAAAAGATAATAAAGGATGTGTTACCAAGCTCTCAGTAAAAAACTACTTACATAAGAAAAGCATTGAATGGAAGCATATAATATCTAAACAGGAAATCGAATATTTAACTAAAAGTTTGCCGTCAGGTACGATGATAAATAATAATTTAGTAAAATATGTATTATGTGAAAAACTAATAACATTATGCAGAAATCGTATGTAAATATAGTTAGGAAGAACAAGTAATACAAATAAAAACCGCTTTTATCTTGTGTTTTTTTAGACTAATTATAAATAATATTGAAATGTAAATTTTCGAAATTCTAATGAATTTTTTTTTGAAATATGATTTTAAATTGTTTAAAAACTAAACAAGCAGAAAAACGTCATTGTTGTTTTTAGACTGCTTTTAATAATACCTAATATGGCCAAAAAATGTACACAAAAACGCAATAATAATAAATGCAACAAATGTTAATTCGTTACAGCGTTGTACATTCGTTAATACGTTTGGTAATTTTTAATATCAACACTTTAAATTGATTTCTAGATATCCCTATGTCAAAAGAGGAATTCCAAGAATCAATGAAAACAATAATAAGGAATTTAACTAATAAGGTAATTTGAAATTTTTTTTTTCTATCATTATATTTATTTGCAATTATTTCCGTGGTACGTAGATAACATAACTTACAGTAAAATATGAAAAGATAAAAAGTAATACACTAAAAGTAGGAATTTTTAATGTGTGCAACCCTTCTATAAGCTAATATCTTGTGGTGAAAGGTTGGACTTATGTATTAAATTATGTATTTTTTTAATATGTAAATATATGATACATTAAAACAAATTGTAATAATAAAATAATCTATAACCTAGTAAATAATATACAAGAGATAATTTGAGACACATTATTTCTAAGATAGTAGTATTTGTAATGTGATTAAAAATAAAAATAAAATTCTTTTAGCAACTTGAAAAAATGTATGATGTAGTACAAAAAGACGATAAAGGATATGTTACCAAGCTCTCAGTAGAACACTACTTACATAAGAAAAGCGTTGAATGGAATTATATACCATCTAAACAGGATATCAAATATTTAACTAAAGATTTGCCGACGGGTACGTTGATTAATAATAATTTAGTAAAATATACATTATGTGAATAACTAATAAAATTATACACAGATCGTTAGGAAGAACAATTAATACAAATATAAACCGCTTTTATCTCGTTTTCTTTAGACTCTCTGTAATTCATATTGAAATGTTAATTTTCGAAATTCCCATGAATTTTTTCGAAGCATGGTTTAAAATTATTTTAAATCTTAACAAGCGTGTTGAGGCTATAACAGGTAATGGAGCGCAATTCTATGCCGGTTATCGCCAATGATACAGATGCCCTCTTATCTTGGTTGTTGCGGCCGTCCACACCACTCCGCCCTAGTCCGCACGATCTATACTGGCAATACTACCGGTCAGCTGTTCACACACACACACACACACACACACACACATATACGCACCGGGTTATACAATGTAAACAAATGTGCCACGCCCGTATTATCAGTTTAGTAGTGCACTTGTTGCATTCTTGTGAATTTGAAGTATATAATATTAATCTAGACTTTTTTGTGTGTTTTTCTTCAGTGTTTTTTAGTTTTAAGTGTTATTATAGTATTTTTAAGCCATAAGGGCACTGTGATTTTTTATTATTATTGTCTTAAGGACAAAGGATTGTTTATTATTGTATTTTTAAGCCATAAGGGCATTATTGAGTTGTCATAAGGACAAAAAACTATTTTAATATTTTTTTTTTTTTGTTGTTCACTTTACTTTGTGTCTAGTATTATTTAGGTTTAGGTAGCAGCCCTGGCCAGCGGTTTGCAGTTCTTCGGTTTGTGAGTACTTTTTATTTATACCATATTTTATTGAGTTTGTTTTATTTGTATTTTAGTTAACTACTGTGAATTATTGGAACATATTTTGATCTCATTTACTAAATACGAGTTAGGGCGATAGACATAAGGTTAATCGTACCATCTATATTGCTAGTTAGCCATAAGGGTTCAATCTAGTCAATAATCAATATTTGTATTTGTGAATAATTTTTGTTGTTCTAATAACCACCTTAGTTATCAAAATACTTTTAACGTCATAAGCTTTAAGCACTCACTTAACTTTACCTTTTAATCTAGTCATTACTATATTAATTATTTATTTGTGTTTGTGAATTATTATTCACAGACCAGATTAATTTATTATTGTGCCAAAAGGGCAATTAATTCCTTTTAGTTTACCAATCTTTTTTTTTTATACTAATTATTTATTTGTGTTTGTGAATTTTATTCACAATTGTATCTTGAGCCAAAAGGGCTAATTATTTATTTATTACCATTTATTATAGCATTTTATTGAATATTATTATTATTATTATTATCATCGAGTTTGAGTTTTATTTATTTAGTTTTTAGTTATAGTTTTAAGTTTCCTACACATCCACACTATACACACTAAACACACTTTTGCACCACATAGCTCACTGGTCTTGCGTAGGCGATCCCTCACACTTCCAGTGAGACTATTTGCCCCACTACCCACACAGCACTGATCGGTAAGTGTAAAGCAATTGGTAACCGGGTAAGTGGCCTAAGATTGTTCGCCCCCGGCCCGTTCAAAGCGGAAAAACATCATTGTTGTTTTTAGGTGGCTTTTAATAGTACCCGTTATGACTAAATATTGATCACAAAAACGCAATAATAATAATTACAATCTGGTTATTCGTTACAGCATAATTTAATTTGTTAAATTTTAACATAAATCATTTCTTAATGTTTTATAGTTATGTGTTTGGCAAAATCGCGATTTAAAGACGAAATAAAAAGAGATGAGGTAATTTTAAATTTATTCTATTGAACTATATAACTCATTAAAAAAGAAATACCGCTAATTTAATAAATCTAATTCGAGACAAAATTATTTCTACATAATAGTAGCATTCACATTGTGTATTAAAAAAATTAATAATGTCTGTATTTACCTCATTAGCAATAACTTGAAAAAAATATTTATTAAAAAATGTAATCTAATTATCTAGTACATTAACGAATTACAAAAATGAAATACTCTAGTGAATAATATACAGGGAAGTAGCAATAATTTGAGAAACATTATTTTCGTAAGAATAGTCTTTACATTATGTATTCAAAAAAGTTACGGTCTACTTAAAGCATTACAGCTAAACTAATAAAACATGCTTAAGTCTGCTGGCTCTTGAATATTGATTATTTCCGATCAATAATCTCCTTGCGATATATGATGATAGTGTAGTCTTAATTTTATGCTGTCGTCCAATGGTTTTTAGTAGTTTTTTATTATTTCGCATTAATCGGTTGGTTGGCAACATTCAACTGAATTAATTATTTTTAATAAATTTAATTGTGCTTATTGTGAAACAATTTTAATTTTTTTGGATAAATATTTGGTTACCCATTTTATAAAAATGCTATTATATGGATTTGTACCTTTCAATCTATATAAAATTATCTATTATATAAAATATGGCTGTGAATAAGTAATGAATACTTTTTTATACAACAATAAAATAATTTAGGTTTTTGATGCACTGAATATATTTATTATGATATAATAATTGTCCAGATTAAAAACCTAAAAGACTTGCCTCAAGACATTTTATACACTTATAAATATATACATATATACATATTTTATAAAAAAGCAACCGCTAGATCGCGCCACTTTTGCGTTACTATCGTGGCGCTATTTTGTATCGTATTCGAGCTGAGAGGCCAAGGATAAGCATGTTCCATTTTAAAACAAAATATAATGGTTTTAGGTGTTGGACGAAATTTATGCTGGTGCCCAAAGATATTTGGCTAAAGATTTAAAACCCCTTGGTATACTTTCTCGTATAAAATACGGTGAAAAAGTGGACAGATCTCACATAGAACGCTTCTTGGCCGACAACTTATCCAAATACAATGGACTAACAATTTATAGGGTGCGGGATGTAGTAAATGACTTGCCGCCAGGTACGACAAATGTTAATAATAATTTAGTAATAGACATGATAAAATAATATTTATGTGAAATATGAGTGCTAATAATTACTTTGATGTTTTGCGTTAATTATCATCGGTAGGTAATGTTTTTTTTAACAATATTTTTGAGGAGTCTTAGACGGCTTTTGATAATACCCGTTATGATCAAATATTGTACTTAATAATGTGATAATAATAACTGCAACCAATCAACTCGTTACAGTATAATTTAGTTTGGTAAATTGTAATGTGAACACTTTTATAATGATTTCTAGATTTGATGTCGAAAAGTGAATTTATAGAGAAATTTGATTATAATTTGTTCACTTCGCGAGGATAATGGACGCTACAACAGCATCCTTTGGCGTATTTAAAATTGTTCCGTCTTATGGCAAGTATTTTTTTGTATCTTTATAACATATAGTATCAACTTATAGTTTCTTTTGTATGTGATAAATAAAAATAAAAATAAATATTGTCATAAATTTTAGGCTTGTCAAAGTTAATATTATTAGCTATCTAAAATATAGTAAATACAACAATTAAATGCCAGTACAGTGCATATATCGAGCTTAAAGGAGAGCATATATGAGCGGGGAGGTTACAATTTTTTCAGGAATTATTTTAACCAAAAATGATAATGCCACTTTATTTTTAACCTCAGAATAAAGATAATGTTTGCAGCCCTTCTGGTGGACAAGGGCTTTTGATATTTTATTGGTTTGCCAATGTCTATCGATAGTAGGTACGTCATTATCTAAAGAATATACCATACAAATTTAGAACCAACGTTAAAAAAAGTCATAACACGTCAAACATAAAAAAAACACATTATTGTAAAAACATTATGACTTCTCGACTAAAACATTTAGCGGTACAGCTGGTGTGTATTGAATAGAAAATATATTGGACGCATAAGAACACAAATCAAATTTCGAAGAGTATTATACAACTTTTACTGTTTATCTATTGTTTTAGATCTATTATAATAATTCTAATTCGTTGTATGGATAAAAATATTTTTGGTTGAATTGAGTTTTGAAATTTCGAGAGACAGATATACCTGTTATAGGTCTAAAGTTGTAGTACATGAACAAAGAAATATTTAGCACGTGAATTGTTCAAATAATAACATGTTTTCATATAAAACTAAAAAATATGAAGGTTACCTAAGTACGAATTTATCGGCTTGAGAAAAAAACAAAAAGCGACAGATATTGTGTTACTTGTTTTACACATTTTATAATAAAAGCGATAACAAATTAAATTATCTGATTCACTATACGAATTTTCGGATTCAAAAATGTAAAGTTATTGCCAAATTTGTATAGAATTTTATTTTAACTGAACTCTATGATATTACTTTATTGATAGGTGTATATTGACAAACCAAACAAATGTCGAAAACCAATTAGCTCAGAAACAGTAAACAAGTTTTTGTTTAATTTAACTTTTCTAAATTTGTGACTAAGTTCCGACTCAAACGTGTCTTTTTAATTTAAATTTGTTACCTAACCAAACCTAAACTTACTGAAGTACAAAAATTACAATACTGTATGCATATAACTGTCTTCTTAAGCGTTTTATTTTTAAGTAATTGTATCACTTTAAGTTATAACAATAATTATTCCTGAAGAACGGCGACTTCCTCGACCGAAGGATATTTCGTTTTATATAATTTTACATATTTTATAATTATCGCATATTAAACTTTTTTTTTTTTTTTATATTTCAGGGCTATATAAATTACTTCAACTTTCTATCTTCATTCACTACATTGACAACTTCAAACTATTTTAAGTATTTAATTTAAGTCTTTAAAAAAAAAAATCAAGGCAGTAAGCTTGCTTTTAATGTGTTTATTCTTAAAACTGTAATGGGCGTGAGGGTTATTTTTGTTTTAATAGATTAAATTTAAACATACATACATAAAGGTATCAAAAGCTGATAAATAAACATTTCCTTCATAATTTAGAAGCTAACTTTTTACAGCTATACTATTTTTTTTTTTATTAAACAGTAGTTTTCACTCATTCTCTAAGCCACGGAATTGTTAAACTGTGTTTGTAATATTTTATATAAATTATTAATACTTATAAATCACTTAATTGTGTAACTCCTTGTTACGTTATTTATTTGCTAGCACGATATATCATAACATGATTATGAATCTTGTTATTATATAATAATTGCACTCTGGTAAAATGTTAAACGTTTTAATAAATTGATTGTGTGTTTCTGTTATTTTTATTGTAATGAATTATAAAGAAAAAAAAATGTTTGAACCTTACCTGTGAAATGTTTATAGAAAAATGAAAATGTTAATAAATTCATTGTGTGTCAACTATATGTTATTATTTTACCTATACAACCATAAAATAGTATGATGTTAAGCTCTCTGCGAGGAGAGATGCCTTTTTGACCACCCCCTCTCACTGCGCAAATCATCAGCATGATTGTTTTTCTAAAAATGATTAAGGTATTAATTAAAAATTATGATGTATTTTCAAAATTATTTTAGATAAAAATATATTTAATATACACAAATCCTTTGAATACAACTGTCCTATAAACGTTTAATTAAGAATTAAGATTCAATTGCATAGTGTATAGTCAAGCAAATAGTTAAAAAAAAAAGGTGAAAATACCGATTAAACAACATAATACATTTGAGGTTGACTATGAATTCAAAGACTAATGGTACGTTGGTGTCATGTTTTACTATGCTGGGCCTACAAAGTACTACCCAAATTTAGGTTTTACTTTGCTCGAATATCCCGAATTCAGCTGTACATCAATTCAAATTGGTGCAATTTGAAGTATAATAGAAATAATATTTCATATTTAATATTAAAAAATATTAATTTTATTGATTTATGGATTTCTATGAAAACATCTAACAAATTTAAAAAAAAAATCAGTATAGTGGGGAACAAGTGGTTTTGCACTTTTAATTAAGTGTCGAAGTAATTTCTGTGTATGATAAGTCCTATAAACACAAAATGAACCAGTTGTGTAAACAAAAATAGGTACACTGCAAAAAGTATTTTAGTTAAAACATACAGCTACAAGTCATAAGAAAACCATATTCAAACAGTTAGTTTGACAAACTGAACAAGGTACTATTGTTGTCACAGAAATTCTAACGGTCCAATAATAAATAAGTAAGTATAACTATCAAACACTAAAAAAATTAATTTACTACCTACGCTAAAACTATAAAGTAGGCATAGCATTTTTCTTCCACACCGATTATAACAAACTTTTTTTGAAAAAAAATCTAATATATATCTATGAATAAACCGAAACTCGTAAACGTGTATAATCAATATCGTTCGATATTGGATATCGGTTCATGTCTATACTCAGCCCTTTTAATGAGTTAAAATTTTAGTTTACAGATTAGCTTATACCATTGTGTAAAAATCTCGAACAATAATCATGATTATTAATTGCATTTTTATTTGATCATATTAAAACAGCGTCAATTAATAACATTTTCAAAAGTTTTTCATATTTATCAAAATATGCTACTAAAATTGTGATGTAGTCCGTTAATTATGATGGGCATAAAACAAAATTTGATTTTATGAAATCGAAAATCAGAAATGCGTTAAAGCTTTCGTGGATTGAAATTGCATTTGACTGAATTTTATTTCGCTATTCATACGTGTCTTGTCCTCGAGACCGCGATTCTCGACCAATGGGAACCGACCATCCAGTTTGACAAAGTGAAAACACCAAACAAAGAGGCTAATTTCGGGAAAATAATGTATAAAGCGGTCATAGATATTGAAAAGTGTTCAACAAATTTTAACGTGGATACATCTAAAACTCATCCAAATGAAATCGAAAGTTGTTATTCAAAAATGGTCATCGAGTCAAGTTAGTCAGTTAGTTAGTCAGTCAGTCAAGTTAGCCTAATTTCTACGTTTTTTTAGTATTACATTTTTTTTTTTTACATCTGAAAAAAAACATAATTTCAGTTTTTTTACTTTTAATAATAAAACATGTCTTGGTAAAACTTGATTGCTTACATATTTTCGGAGTAAAAAGAGAAAGCTGTGCCTCAGGACACGGGCACACGCGTTGTAACGCCAAAGCTGTCCCATCTCTGGTGACGACCATGACTATAATAAGCGTTGATTTTATGTTTATTATATATTTTTCGCAGATAAAAATGAAACTTTTCTGTTTATTAATGTTATTTGTCTTGGCAAATGTGTCCACAAACAACCAAAGTAATTATTTCATTTTAACAACAACATACTTAAGTACGATTTAAAAAAATTCAATATTTCTCTTCTTTTTTTTTTACAGTGGAGTATTTGAGCGAGATTGTCATTACAAGTCAGTAACAATTTTATTTTATAAATAGCATTTAACATTTTAAAATGTTACCCATTTTATTCATATTTGTTTATATGATGTGTTACAGACGCATTAATAGAGATTGCTTATAAAATGAATAATTGTACTGTAGAAGATAACTTTATAGCAAGTAAGATTTTTTTCAAATACACTTTCAATAAATAGGTAATTATTTTAATGTTTTCCTAATTGCCCAGGAATTTGCAAAAAAAAAAATTACAGTTAACCTAACCAGTGTACTGTATACTGTGCGAATATTTAAGTTATGAAAGTTAAACCATTTATATTTATACACACACTTAGAAAATGGTCACTGCTTAGATCATGGTTATTTTTATCTTAAATAATAATATACATTTATACTATTTTTTTTTATTCTGGCTAAAATCTTTATTTGTTTATTCCAGATGGATTGGAGCATGTAGTTAAAAAAATTGTTTTTAAAGATAAACATTTGTCTGGTACTTAGTAATAATTATAAAAAAACAAGATAATGCTTTCTAGTAGAAGAGAATATTCAAAAGTATTGTACAAATTAGAATAATACAAATGCAAATGTATCAGTAATATAAATCATAAATTGTTATGAACAATTTTAAATGAAATCGTACAGATATTTTCTTCTACTTTGAACTTCGTCTTTCTGTTTATAACAGAATAGAAAATAAAATCCAATATTATTAATCTAATGTTAATTTCAGATCGAATGAATCTCAACTTTATGAATCATATGATCGTTGTACCGGGTAATTATTTGTCATGCATTTTATGGAAATATTTCCACTCGGTTGTTTAACGTTTTTTAAGTTCCCAATATAATTGTTTTAATTTCAGAATTTCCATTCCTTGGCGTCATAGATGGTAATCATATTTCATCATTTATATTTCAGATTTTAAATACTTTACACATATGTATTACTAATAAATTTATTGCGAGAAACATTCTGTATAATGCATATTAGTTTCAGTCATATGAAATATATACAATATAAATCAACATTTTTTTTATTTTTAGCATCTTTAGAACTTGAAGACATTTTGAAACAAGAAATAATAGATGAATTAAGTAAATATGAAATTTGAAATTTTTAACAAAGCAATTTTCAAAACATCAAATTAAGCAGTATTTATGATTTTTAATATTTTTGATATTCAAAATATAAATTAAAACGTTAATATTCAGACGTTGACTTTAGAAATTATTTAATATATTGGTTTTCTAATTATTCTCAGTTTTAGAGAATGTATTTGATAAAACCGAATTGCATTAACTGTATTTATAATGATTTGTTATTTGATGTATTATATGTTTTAGAAATTAAAGTTCCTGAGATTCCATCCGAAAGTAATGACACATTTTTCGAAAACCGAAATAGCTTTAAGGCTTTTTTTCTAAAATATCAGGGCCTATAAATAACTCAAATGAAATAAACTTTTAGTTGGAGTGTGTGATTTTTAGTCAAATTTTAAAAGAATTGGGACCACATTGCAAAATTACAAATACAAGCATTTCTTGACTAGACGATTCTAGGTTAAAGAATACTTATGACTCGACAGGAAATTCTTAATACAGGGTAATATTTTGTGATGGTCGAATCATTGCGTTGATGATGTGTTACCCCCTGTTATTTATACATCTCTTTAATCAATTTAACCACTTATAACGATATCTGAACAAAAATATATTTGAATAAATTGAACAGTAAAATATATATAATTTTTAAATTAAGTTACTGGCATCACTAAAATCGAAAAGTTTTAAGTGAAGCTATGCATTTATCTTGATGAAAACTCTTAGTGCATAGTAGAACTGAGCATTAAATGGCAGGGGTAGTTTTCAGAAGTTCTTGTCACTGTTGATTATAAAAAAATGTATTATATTATATACAGTTTATTGAACTATTGACTAATCAAATTGTGTATCACCTTTTTTTTTTTTAAAAAAAAACTATTTTTTTTAACAACATTCACTAAATGATTTGTTGCAGATTTTACGAAATTAGATTTTACACAGCGTGGAGACGAGAGAAGATGTCTTGTTGGAAAAGCTTTGAAAAATATAATTTGCAAGGCAATAGGTAAATATTTATATAGAGTTGTATTGGGTTTTAAATAAAATAAAAAAATAGGTTTTTTTAACCTGTTTAAACAACATATACTTATGAATCTGTTGAGACTTTCACGATTTGGAATATCACGTGGATGATTTTTAGATACATCCGTGTCATTGTTAACCGACATTTTGGACACTTTGTAGAGTCCGTCTTGAGGGTTGTCACGACTGTCCTTGACGACATTATGCGTCCCGTGTCCTTGGAACCGTGTTATCTCGATCAATGGGAGTCGAGCGCATTCTATCGTGTCATAACATGTCACGACGAGTCATGTTTTTTCTGTTTTAATTCTATGTTTTTTTTTGGCATTCTTCACATTTGGACCTGCCTTTTCTGCATCTGCAGTTAATATTTTTATGGAACGGCTTGAAGAACAGTCTTTAAAAAATGAGGATGACACTTTTGTACAGTGGCACTATGGTGAAGAAGAATTAAATACATTTAACAACATTAATAAAGCATTAAAAAGAGCTGAAAAAATACACGAAACAGGTAATTCCACTGTGGAATTTGAAGGTGAAAAGAAAGGAATATTGTTATTGCCATACATACGTCGGGTGGCAGACCGCATCTCTAGAATTATGAGACAAATAAAAGATAAAAAATTGTATTTAAACCAAATATGACTGTTGGATCCCTATTCCGAAGCCCAAAAGACAAAATCCCCGGATATGTAAACACCGGGGGTATATAAAATTCCATGCACAAGCGGCAAGTCGTACAATGGGCAAACTGGAGGGCAATAGAGATACGAATAAAGGAACATGAAAAAGATGTTGATTATAATAGGAAAGAAAAATCTGCTCTAGCCGAACACGCAATGAATAAAGGGCATTCCATCCAGTTTGACAAAGTTAAGATATTTGATAAAGAGGATAACTTTGGAAAAAAAATGTTTGAAGAGGCCATAGAAATCGGAAAATGGCCATAAAACTCTAACAGAGAAGACGGTTGGAAAATCAGCAACGCGTGAAACCCATATTGCAACAATAAAAAAGAAAATAACTAATTAAACCAACTGGTCAAAATCATAAAAAGGAAGCGACCATTAATGAAAAAATATTAACTGCAGATGCAAAAAAGGCAGGGCCAAAGGTAAAGAATGCCAAAAGACATACAGAATTAAAACAGACAAAAAAATACTCACTACAAATTAACAACTTTATTAGCTAATGAATCACAGTTTTAGATAAATTATATAATTGATTAGTTATTTGTTTGAAGTAATACTTCTTAAAATAATAATAATATTGTGTATTATTATATAAATACTATAAATAACATCTTTAATAAACTCTATCAAAGTTGCCCCATTGGGACGACTCTTTACTCTGAGAATCTGTCCTTTATAAAATTATCTATATATCGTCCGTTTATAAAGTAAGATTAGTCTCCATAAAAATATTGATGTACTCTGCCTTCTATTTGATTTTTTGGTAAATCGGTGTCTTTACCAAGGTGCTTCTATAAAATTATTTTTCTTCTAAAATATATCACATTGTTTTGCATTGGTTTTGTTGTAAATAAAGGGTATTTTCTAAAAAGCCGTTGGTAGAATGTTTGATAGGCTAACGATATAAGATTAGTATTAAGGGATCTGAACGCAAAAAGTGGAAGAGAAACGCATTTCCTTCCAATAATAGGAAGTAAAAGCACACATGACTAGAATTGTGGCAACACAAGGAATTTTTTCTGTATTGTCAAGAAACATCAACAATATAACCCAAACCTAAAAGGTATAAAACAAATACTAAGGTGTCGATTCTCATGGAACCCGAAAAAAAAGGCTGAAAGATGGAGTGAATATTTCATTGAATTACTCAATAGGACATAATACCACTATATCCAGTGGAGAAGACGATGTATCAAAGAGCTGAAGTAAAGGAGTATAACGCAGGAAGAAACTGATAGTATAATAGCTAGCCTCCAGAATTGGAAAGCGCCCGGTTCAGACAATATCCCAGCAAAGATGATAAAATATGGCGAAAAACTAATAAGGTATTTCATTCAATTTAAGGGACCAGTCAACATTTTCAGTAAATTATTGTTAACATAAAAAGTTAATAGATATATATGTTACCAATTAAGTATTAAAAGTTAATTTAAAAATAAATAATTTGAGAGGCAATTATAAATATAAATGTTTGTGAAAAATAGAGATCAAATTGTTTTTATACAATTTACTACCGAAAAAAAATGCAATAACTGATTAAAGCCTATAAAATAAGTGGATCACTTAAGAAGTATTATGAGACATATGACGACAAACTAGTCAATTTGCTATTTTTTATATTTATTATCAATACGGTTATTTATTATTATTTGCAGATTTTGAAAATTTGACCAAACTTTTAGAAGAAAGAAGACGTGCTCCAACAGTGGATTCAAGGCAAAGAATCATCCGTGCATCAGGTAAGTTTTCATATAGAGTTGTCATGACTTAAAACCTTAAAAACAACTATTATTGAACTAATTTAGGTCTTTGGATATAAAATTTAGTAATGTATTGATAAACTAGTATTTAGTACTACCCTAAAATGTTTTATATTGGAATGAAAATATTTTAAACTTATTCTTCATTTCATCGCAAAGAAATTTGCTACAATTATATTGCACGTTATTATTACTACAATACATCAAGTTAATCAGTAGTTTTAATTTTAAACCATTAACCTAATAATTAGTGATAGCTAGGATAAAAATTTGTACTTTAATAATATCTAGTCATTATTGACACATATTTTCTACAAATACCATGTCTGCGAGTAGTAAGTGAGGTACCCTGACACCACCTACTTCTGCTGTATAATAAAGACCCCATGTATCGTTATTTATGACTTTATGACAAGTAAAGTAGATTTGTCATGCACCATAAACAAGTAGAAATTATTAAGCTCAATTATTTTTATTTTTTTAGATAGAAATTTGTATCAAGTTTCAGTAAAAATAATGTGTAGACTTTTATCATTGTTCTTGTGTACAAAATGTCCAACACAAGAATTATTTTGCCTGAAAGATGAAGATAAAAACACTTGTACCATAATAAATACAAGATCAACACCAGAAAAACATGTTTACAGAGAAATTGATGGCATTTGGTATCAAGTGAGCAACGATGACATAGATTATACTATAGAACCACTTAAAAGTCAAATATGCTAATTTTAACGTGGAATTAATTGTATAAGTCGTCTCAAACTATATAATATTACTGTTATTATACTTAAATACTATTTGAGTTGTTCACTAAAATCCAATCCGTAAATTTTTTTTAATGTATTTTACAATAAACCGCTTTACTCACGATTTTAATCACATTTGTTGCTTGTGTATTGATTTAAACAGATACGAGTACATTATATATTTTCCATATTACACATGTTGGATTTGAAGCATTTTTAAAAATACAATGTACTCGTTCTCTGCATCAACCTGCAGTCATTTGTTTGCCATTATTTTTATAATTTTGAATCCTGGCAAAAGAAATAAAAACAAATATATTTAAATGTTTGTTCTTCGCGATTAAACTCAACGACAATATAATCTCACAGTCACATTCACAATAATGTTATGTTATATAAAAACTCAATACCGAACCGTAGCTACCATAATGTACTCCCTGTACATTAGTTAAGGTCAGCTATCTGTCTATAAATTTTATAAAAAAAAAAAATTGTTAGTATCCACAATATAGGCGGATACATGGGCACATGGATATGTATATTTTCTAACTCTAATGTCTTATCTTATCTAATTTCTAATCTATGGCTAAGACATTAAAAATTATTTATCAGTTATTTCATTCGCAACACAACCGCTAGATCGCGTCACACGCAAACATTTTCCTCTGTTAGGTAAGGTTAGGTTTTTTTTTAATTTAACTAAATTTCACTCGATACGGTCGTGCACAGATATAAAATACACGGAAAAGTGTCTTATTTTCATGCTTGAAGCGTGTGTCAATTTATGAAGATGTGTACCTAGGTGCCATATTTATAAATAAACTTAACTTAAATAATTTATTTCATAATAAAAAGTTTTACGCACGATTTTAATTACATTTAATACTTATGTATTATGAGTGCTAACTCGTGCCAAGGATCTTTAAATCATGACAAAATATCTTGACATAAAAACAAATATATTCAAATATTGTTAAAACGTTCTTCACGGTTAAACTTAACGACAGTAAGGATACGTTTCATTACTTTTAGTTTAAAGAGACTTGTCAAATATTTGAAATAATATTTAATTTATTTTCTTTACTTCGTTTAATACAAAAAAACGTAAAAAGTATACATCCTAATATAGATAAGTGTTTTATAATAAGTTGAGTTAATGTACCTAAATAATTTGTTACCAACATCTAAAACCATCACACTGGAATTTTATTTAAACCATATCCATGGTACAATGTTTTTCCGTGGAAAAAGTTTCTTTTAAAAAATAATTCTTGGAACATCTTATATAACCGGATTAGGGACTATATCTCATTATAATAATTGCTGGGCTCTTAACTATATTATCTGAGTGTAGGACTAAGAGATTAGAGAAATATCCAACAATGAAAAACCAGTGATGCCCCATAATTTTAGTGCAATTGTTAATTTATGGAAAGACAAAAAAACATTCTTCTTAACGAGATAACATAATTATTGGCATCAAATCGTTTTTAGACATTTAGCATTATCTCCAGTTTTATCAAAATGTGGTAAGATAACTTAGTTATATAAAGAAATTGATTACATTTTATTAAAAATATAATAAGTATGTTACGGATAAGTGTTTGTAAATACAGTATTCTTCTTCAGCTGTATAAATAACAAAACATATAAATATGGTTTCCAAATTTTTTTAAGTTAAATAATTTACTCGGTTGATACCTACAAAACGCATTATTCTTTGATGGTATAAAAATTATCGTATTAAAAAAAAGCAACATATATTACACAAAATAAAAAATAATCCCAACAAAAAAACCTCGCAATCTCCGTGTAAAATTTCGTAAAGTAAATAAAGAAAACTATTCGTTAAAATAATCTAAGAATTGTTATCTAAGAACAACGTGTTGTATTTTTTTTTTTTTTTTTTTTTGTAGATACTTATTAAATTTACCTTCTAAGTCCAAAAACTACCATCAAAACAGTTAAGTATAGACAAAATTCCAATAGAATTATTCAAGCTGTTAACACTTTTGGAATTTTTTGTTTTCAAACCACCAATGTAAAACGTTTTCCCTTGATGTAAAATAAAACTGTACAAATCGTCGCAACTGCGTATCAAAATTTAATAACTAAATTAAATCAGGTAATATATCATTGTTGAAAGTATATTATAACTCATAGTGTGTGAGTAAGCAAAGTAAAATTAAAAAAATATTTTTTACGACTTACAGTGTATATTTAAAACCGATGAACGCGTTATACTTGAAGTACAATATTACTATCAAACTTCTTATTTTTTTTAATCAAAACAGCCACCGAAATTATGACGTAGTCATCTTATAATGGGCAAAATTGTATTTCATACATTCGGAAGTTAATTTTTAAAAATGGTTACCGTTATGGAATCCTTACTTAAACAGATGATATATATATATATATATATATATATATTCCATATTACGCGGGTTGGATTTGAAGCAATTTTAATAATACAATTTTACTTATTATCTGAATCAACTCAAGTATATGCCATTAATTTTTCTTTAATTTATTTTTGGACTTACTATACGTCATGTCCATGTCCTGCTTAACTTATTTATCTACTATTTAGAATTTTGTGAGTGCAAACTCGTTCCTAAATCGGTCCGGGTGTAACCTACATACATTTTTTGGGATGTTAGAATCCTGTCAAAAATCGAAGGTTGAAATAAAAACAATTATATTTATATATTGTTAAAAGTCTTATTTCCATTTTTGAAGCTGTGCTAGGAGTATTCCAAAGTTTGCTTGGACGTTTCATGTCACAATTTTGTCCAACTCTATCTTCATCTCTATCTCCAACTGCAGCTCCAGTTCCATCTCCAGCTCTAGCTCCAGCTCCAGCTCCAGCTTCAGTTCCAGCTCTAGCTCTACATTCAGCTCCAGCTCCAGGTCTAAATCCATCTCCAGCTCGAGCTTCAGTTCCAGCTCTAACTCTAGCTCCAGCTCCAGCTCTAGCTCCATCTCCAGCTCTAGCTTAAGCTTCATCTCCAGCTCCAGCTCCAGCTCAAGGTCTAGCTCCATCTCCAGCTCGAGCTTCAGTTCCAGCTCTAGCTCTAGCTCCAGCTCCAGCTCTAGCTCCATCTCTAGCTCTAACTCTAGCTCTAGCTCCATCTCCTGCTCTAACTCCAGCTCTAGCTTAAGCTTCATCTCCAGCTCCAGCTCTAGCTCCACCTCCAGCTCTAACTCCAACTCTAGCTTAAGCTTCATCTCCAGCTCTAGCTCTAGCTCCATCTCCAGCTCTAACTCCAGCTCTAGCTTAAGCTTCATCTCCAGCTCCAGCTCTTGCTCTAGCTCAAGCGCCAAAAAAAAATAACTAATATCTTGACTCCATGTAGGGTTTATGGACCCTACGGTGTATTATGTCAGTAACGCCACGTAAGGTCTTTAGGCCCTACATGTGCAACTTATTTTTTTCGCCGCGTAGGGTCTCTAAATTAATAGTGTAATATGAATATTGTCAATTTATTATGAAAAATGTAAGTTCAGGTACTAAGATCCTATGCTGCCCTGTTAGTAAAGAAGGAATGTGTGTACCAAACATCATACATTAAAATTTTTATACAAGGATATTTATAATCTAAAGGCGATTTATTTGTCCTTATTGTCTATTATTATCTACATCAGAGTTGCAATAATATATTTAATTATTAGGAGCGCTTCAACATATTTCTTTTAAAAAATGCTTCAAATCGTTATGTACAATATGGTAAAAATAAAAACCACAGTCTAATTAAAGCCTAACGGCTATTATTAAACAACATGATTTAGCCTGTTGTCTCCTGAATAGTGATTATTTTTTATCTATATTCTCCTTGCCATTTGTGACGATAGTATAGTGTTAACTGTAATATGTTCTGGCCAAAACGTTTGCATGACGACAACGACTCTTTATTATTTCAATGAAATCGTATATCGATGGTAACACAGCAAAAGGGTCTAAGCGACACGGCCTATACTCGTACTATTGGTTAGAAAAATATATTATAATTCATGTAATATAATTATATGATTGAAAAATTTCTAATTCTCACTAAAAAAAAGTTATTGGGAACTTAAAAAAAAAAATAGTAAAATCACAAAAGGAACGTTTAGTGGCCATCCTGAAAACTATGAAATATGTCGCTTAGATTAAATTTTAAATTGTTATTTTAATGATACAAAAATGTTACCGACTCGTAATATAGTCTAATGGCCGTTTTCGAAACTTGTCAACTCCTTCTATCATTTAAGCCCTACCAGAGCGCTGTAGGTCCAATACTTCAAAACCTACAGCCGTTTGAAACCCCACCATTCTTTTTGATACACTCTGTATTATAAGATATGGTATAATTTTTGCATGAATAAAATATAGTACCACGAAATACGGTATTTAATATTTTTTTTTATTTTCATCTTTTTTAATTGGGATTTAATCAGTTTGTAATTTTTGAATTTAGATACATTGAAATTTTGATTTTTTATTGTAGATTTATTTTTTAAACAAAAAATTCATGGTTCCACTTCCTCGTATTCCTTTGAATCTTTCATTTTTTATCCCGTTTATCTCAAGTAAACCTCCAGCCCATTGTATCTTCCGTACCTCATTAATTTTTTTAACTTCTGGGACTGGTAAACCGTTGATAAAGAGTGTACCGTCTTTAAACCGTACGTTTACAAAACCTGAGGTAGCATTTATACCTTCTGAAACGTTTAAAATAAATTAATTGTGATATAAGGTATGATAATAACTCTACCCCAGAGCCGAATTAGACTTACCGCTTTCACCATTGGTATAGAAATTCTTCACACCTGCATTACCCCGAATATTACCCTGCACTCCTATATAACAACGGTTACCAATATGCACACCTGTACTACTACTACTATCAAAAGTCACACTGTCTGCAGCTCTTTTTTGTTTTTTTAGGTTTTCTTGAATTGGAGATTCGTTTTCACTCGGTTCACTTGATTCACTCGATTCACTTGATTCACTCGGTTCACTGTACTTATTCTTATCATTATCACATGAAGTATCTAAAACAAGGTGTTACCGAATTAAATATCAATAATATAATCTTAAAAACGATGTAGCTCTCATCGCTTATGTAATTGAGTTTAATTCAATAA